TCCCTGTTTGCAGATGACGTGAAGTTGATGAGAAGAATACACTCGATCGAAGACCAGGCAGAACTACAAAGGGATCTGGACAGGCTGCAGACCTGGTCCAGCAATTGGCTCCTGGAGTTCAATCCCACCAAGTGCAAAGTCATGAAGATTGGGGAAGGGCAAAGAAGGCCGCAGACGGAGTACAGTCTAGGGGGTCAGAGACTACAAACCTCACTCAAGGAAAAAGATCTTGGGGTGAGTATAACACCAGGCACATCTCCTGAAGCGCACATCAACCAAATAACTGCTGCAGCATATGGGCGCCTAGCAAACCTCAGAACAGCATTCCGACATCTTAATAAGGAATCGTTCAGGCCCCTGTACACCGTATACGTTAGGCCCATATTGGAGTATGCGGCACCAGTTTGGAACCCACACCTAGCCAAGCACGTAAAGAAACTAGAGAAAGTGCAAAGGTTTTGCAAAAAGGGACTAGTCCCAGAGCTAAGAGGTATGTCCTACGAGGAGAGGTTAAGGGAAATCAACCTGACGACACTGGAGGACAGGAGAGATAGGGGGGACATGATAACGACATACAAAATACTGAGGGGAATTGACAAGGGGGGACAAAGACAGGATGTTCCAGAGATTGGACACAGTAACAAGGGGACACAGTTGGAAGCTAAAGACACAGATGAATCACAGGGATGTTAGGAAGTATTTCTTCAGCCACAGAGTAGTCAGTAAGTGGAATAGTTTGGGAAGCGATGTAGTGGAGGCAGGATCCATACATAGCTTTAAGCAGAGGTATGATAAAGCTCACGGCTCGGGGAGAGTGACCTAGTAGCGATCAGTGAAGAGGCGGGGCCAGGAGCTCGGACTCGACCCCCGCAACCTCAACTAGGTGAGTACACACACACCACACACACACACACACACACACACACAGCTGCCGTGTTTTATTTGTCAGGAAACATGTCTCTAGAGGAGAGTCGTAGCCACAGAGAACGTGGAAGAAACAGATAGTGGTACAGAGCTTAGGTGTCCCGTAGTTCGATCGCCAACGCACTCTGCTCACACACTGAAGTCCGGGGATCGAATCCCGGTCTGGAAAACATTAAGACGTGTTTCCGTAAGACATCTTCCGTTCCTGTTCACCCATCAGTAAAATAAGTACCTGGGTGTTAGTCGACTGGTATGGGTCGCATCCTGGGATAAAATTGACCCAATTTGCCCGAAAAGCTCTGAAAACAAACGGCTTTCTATATAGTAGTATGTCACTGATGTCAGTTAGGTCTTTATACCGTGTACATGTACTTGTAGAAATAAAGATGTTATTATTATTATTATTATTATTATTATTATTATTATTATTATTATTATTATTATTATTATTATTATTATTATTATTATTATTAATATATTATTATTATTATTATTATTTATTATTATTATTATTATGATTATTATTATTATTATTATTATTATTATTATTATTTTTATTATTATTATTATTATTATTATTATTATTATTATTATTATTATTATTATTATTATTATTAATATATATTATTATTATTATTATTATTATTATTATTATTATTATTATTATTATTATTATTGTTATTATTATTATTATTACTATTATTATTACAATAATAATATACAACACCGACATGATGAATTAGACTCGTGTGCCACACCTGGGTATCCTCACCTGAAGACGTTTCGCCCACTAGTGGCTTTACCAAGACTCGACACCGGTTTACAGGTGAGACACTGAATACCGCATCTACTGTCTTCACCACTTGTTTCCGAAACGTCTTCAGATAGTGACACCCAGGTGTCGTACATGTATGTATATGCAGTAAGATCACAGTAAACAAGTGATATCAGAATATGCAAAACAACTACTGTGAAAGGATACTGAAATTCCAAGCGTATTCGTGACTTTCTCACATTATCCTTGATAATGTGAGAAGTCACGAAAGCGCTTGGAATTTCATTATCCTTTCACACTGGTTGTTTTGCATGTATATACATGTTCACATGTGTCTAATTCCTCTCATTGGTTAGTGTACTAGCCTGCCAGGACTCCCTCGCCTCGGGATCGAATCCCACTAGTGATGTAATATGATGAATATACAGGGTATATTATTATTATTATTATTATGATTATTATTATTGTTATTATTATTATTATTATTATTATTATTATTATTATTATTATTATTATTATTATTATTATTATTATTATTATTATTGCACTCATGGGAAACACTAAAACCGTTGGGCAAATACTCTGTCTGGGAAATGGGAGGAAATCAGGTTCGCTCCAAGGGAGGAGAGGAGAGCTCCAGTTCCTTGAATCACAATTACTAAAACATTTAGAGTGAAGCGGTAAATCAGCTGTGGCGCTGCAGTGCCTAAGCGAAAACGGGAGGCAATTAGTTTTGATCCACGGAAGGGGAGAACTGTGCCAGTTCTTTGGAAGAGGAGCTCTGCACCAGTATCAAGAACCCTTTAAAGGCATCAAAGAACCTCTTTTGACGGAGCACTGAATCAAGAACCCTTTTTAAAACATAAAGGAACCTGTCTTAATGGGACACTGAATCAAGAAACTCTGAAAGGTATCAAGGCAACACCTTGAATAGATATCATGTAGTAACCTCATCAATAAAACTCATCCACAAATATCAAGTTTATTTAATCCTTGAGGGGAAAGACATACATTAGAAAACAAGTGATACTCAAGACACGGATCAAGTTCTTCCTGAAGGACTGATCCATCAAGCATCACAATCAAGACATGGATCACTGTAGTTCATCATAGTCTGATACGTCTTACCATGAAATTACAACGGGTTCACAAGTTCATGATAATCTGATTCATCACAAACTGGAATCAAGTGGAACACAACTACTTCCTGTGATCCGTATCATAATATATATATATATATATATATATATATATATATATATATATAATATATATATATATATATATATATATATATATATATATATATATAAATATATAATACTATATAATATATATATATATATATATAAATATATATATATATATATATATAATATATATATATATATATATATATATATAATATATATATATATATATATATATATATTCTATATTAAATTTCCACTACTATTGTAATATACTTTGAAGCTTTAACGATTTTTTTATAGTTAACAATTTGGAACACAAATTACATTTGCTTAATTTGGATCATTTTCAGACATAAAAGGATTTATACGGATTTATATCGATTTATTGTTAAGGAAACATATCTGTTATTGTTACGTTGTGACGAAGACATCCTCTTGTTATCAAGTTATATTGATGACTTAGTTATTATTTTGCATGACTTAGTGGTTATTTTAATTATTGATGAATTTGTTAATATTATTATAAATACATCGGCTGACGGTTTCTTTTACTCTCTTCTTTTTATGGGTTGAAGTGTCCTTGACTGATGTAATTCACCGACGATTGTGATGAACCTTTGTTGATGTCTGTACATTCTTGCAGCTCTATTCTATTTTTAATTACTCTCATATTGTTTGTTTTTCAGATTTAAGTTCGATCGTCTGCTCACTTCACATTATCTCCACAAACACTTTAATCACTAAAATAAGGAATTCGCTAAATTCTTAGTGTACATATACACTGACAGATCTATCTATCTCTCTCTCTCTCTCTCTCTCTCTCTCTATATATATATATATATATATATATATATATATATATATATATATATAATATATATATATATATATATATATATATATATATATTATATATATATATATATATATATATATATATAATATATATATATATATATATATATATATATATATATATATATATAATATAATATATATATATATATAATATATATATATATATATATATATATATATATATATATATATATATATATATATATATATATATATATATATATATATATATATGTCGTGCCGAATATGTAAAACTGGTTAATTAGCAAGAACTCATTTAAAATTAAGTCCTTTCTGAAATTTTCTCTTATACGTTTAAAGATATACTTTTTTCATTAATGTTAATGAAAAAATTTTTAATTTTGCACCAAAAAAATCTTAGAAAACTTACCTAACCTTGGTCCAAGTCGGACCGAAACGTCGTCGTAAGCTTCTGTCTTTTATGTGCGGGTTATTTGTGTATCGTTCCAGTCACGGTATTGTGCCTTTTTGTTATTTACCTAACCTTATTATAACAAGAGCAATTTATTTTAGCCTAACCCATCTAAATATATTTTAAATACGGTTACAATAATTTAGTACTAAAGAAACACAGTCAAATATATTTTTTTTTGTTAGGTTCAAAATGATTTTGGCGAAATTATTGCATACATAAATTTTCACTTGTCCTATATGGCAAGATGAGCGTTGCTATTTAAGCCAAGATCGCAAGTTCTACCTATTCGACACGACATATATATATATATATATATATATATATATATATATATATATATATATATATATATATATATATATATATATATATATATATATATATATATATATATATACGTATATGTATATAAGGATACAATAAGATCACATAAACAGGTGATATCAGAATATGCAAAACAACCACTGTAAAAGAATAGTGAAATTCCAAGCGCATTCGTGACTTCTCACATTATGAAGAAACTATAAAAAATAATACATCAAAGGAAGGTATATAAAAGATCGAGACCACACCTCATCATCACATCAAAAAATAAAGCAACACTTGACGCGCGACGACAACCGACTCATAAGAAAGGAGGAACACTGCATCACGGCCGCTGGCCCAACTAGGCAAAACCTTCACGACATCCCACTAACAAAATATTTACCCTTCCCTAGTACTCTATCCAAGAATTAAGATTTATTATTTGTCCAATATATTATTAATAAATAATAAATATTAATTCTTGGGTAGAGTGCTAGGGTTGGGTAAATATTTTGTTAGTGGGATGTCATGAAGGGCCTGTCTAGTTGGGCTAGCGGGCCTGCTGCAGTGTTCCTCCTTTCTTATGAGTCGGGTGTCGTCGCGGGTCAGGTGTTGCTTTTTTGTGGGATGCGATGGTGAGGTGTGGTCTCGACCCTTTATATGCCTTCCTTTGATGTAATGCTTTTATAGTTCCTTGATAATGTGAGAAGTCACGAAAGCGCTTGGAATTTCACTATTCTTTCACAGTGGTTGTTTTGCATACAGAAGGACATACACATCTCAGTGTATATACATTAAGAGATTGTTATGGTGTTAATGTCATGACATTATTATCAATATGGAGGTTAAAATAACAAAAAGTAATTAAAGCAAGTAAGATATTTATATCGTTGTTGTTTGGCATAAAGTATAAATATTTATTTACTCTCATCGCTCAGGAGTCACTCTTGATATTTATTTAATAAACGACGAATGAATGAGACAGGTTGCAGACGAAACATTTACCTGGACAACGTTTCGCTCAAGGTAAAGCTTTGTCGAGACATGATAAAGCTTTACACAGAGCGAAGCATTTTAAGGCGCACGATCATATGAGACAAATAAGACAATACTTCCAAGCAGTTGTAATGTTAGGTTAGTAAACAACTGCTTAAGCGTAACCCAAAGCTTACCCTTAACCTTGATCTTGAGCATATAAGGCGCAGAGTGATTTTCAAGACTTTTATGTGCGAAAAATGTGCGCCTTATATGCCGGTAAATACGGTAAACTTCTGCAACGTGTGTTTTTCCTCGCTGATGTAGAGAGTACGATGTTTAAATCCTTGGAACTAATATATGAATATTAAAGTTGTATTACTATGAGCAGGATAAACCTGAGGGGGAAGAGCCGTCTCAGTCAACATTCTGTAACATTCCGTGTGTGGGTACTGCGAGTCCTATTTATCCTATCGGTCCCTTTACCTGAGGAACTCGTGGGAGTCCTGTGGTCAGGGATGCTGTTCACCTGATCTGTGGATATCTCCCGGTCAGGGAGTCTTCTTGTTAGTGATGCTGTCCTTCAGCACCTAAGGAACTCTCTGAGTCAATGATTGGAGCAGCACTTTTACTGGAAATCCTCACTAGGTAATGTGAATCATAGTTTTCTTCGTTTTGCAGTTCCAGGGTCCTGCAAGAACACTCATGTGAGGACAGAGACCCAAGTTTGCCCAGCAAGTATTTATTTGGACATAGTGTTACTCTAAAAAAAAAAAAAGTCTTCATAGAGCGAAACATTTTGGAATTAAAGGCTTGTTCCGTTTGCTAGTGTCTCAATCAAAACTTTTCAGTCAGTGTCGAGCCGGTGGAGATTCAAAGTCACAGTGCAATGGAAGGAATCAATTCACATATCACCCTCGCCCACCAGATATATGGGCAACTTTCTATACACCAGTTGCATCCGGGTGTTAGTCAACCGTTTTTGGGTCATAGTAGTTACGAGGACGACAGGACCCTTAACGGAAATAAGTCACGCTGCATAGCTTTCTTCAGGTAACCTGATTTAATAATCTGGGGGGTTTGCTGTACCAAAGAAAGTCTTCCCTTTTATATAATTAAACATAGCGAACTTGATTCTAAGAATTCTAATAGTTTCGCCTTCTTTCCACCTTCTATGTAACCCAGTGTGGTCAGAGCTGCCGAGCAGTGAGGAATTTGGTCAGAGCTTTATCATACAGAGATATATGTCAGCTGACACATCATTTAGTGTGTTTAATCAAAACTGTGGTACCGTGAAGAATGTGATCAGACCTGTCACACCGTGTAGGGAGTTTGACCAGCCATAACAGATCGAGTAGAGAATGCAGCTTCCATCCTCCCTCTCCTGGCTGGCCAATTTTTCCTGAATAGACACGAGTGCATCCCATCCACCCTGAGTACTTATCCACTCTACACAAGAATACGCCCCTACTCAGCGTTTACTAGTGATGGGCCAGGTGACAGGATGTACCTGGAGGACCTTGTGGGCTGGAGAGTCTGCTGCAGATGCTGCTGCTGAGGGTGCTGGTAGTGCTGTTGCTGTTCCTGTTGACGCTGTGGAAAGTAATATTGTTGTGGGTGCTGTTTGCGCTGGGGCTGCTGGTAGTGTTGCTGTTCCTCTTCTTGCTCTTGCTGCTGCAGGAAATGCTTCTGCTGCTTTTGCTGTTGTTTCTGCTGTGGTTGCTGGTAATGTTGCTGTTGGTAAAGTTGCTGCTCCTGTTGTTGCGGGACCCGTTTCTGTTGCTGGTGAAGGAGGAGGTGGCTGCTTTGGTGTTGCTGTTGCGGTTGCTGGTAATGCTGTTGATCCTGTTGCCTCTGCTGCTGCTGCTGCTGCTTTGTTGCTGTAGCTGCAGCTGCTGCTGCTGTTGCTGTCTCTTCTCCGGCTGGTGCTGGAGGACGGGTCGGCATGTCTTAGGGGAAGCGCACGTTGCGGGTGATTCTACGGATGCCGGGCCAGCACAGTGAGGTGAAGATAAGACACCATTAATAATCTCGTCTTAAACTACTGACCAAAACAAAAGGAAGAATCCATTGCTAACTAGTACAATCACAAAAGAAAAAGCTACTGAAGAGACTCATATTAGGACAATGTTTCGATCTGTGTAAATCTTCAGCGTACCATGATCAAGGCTCTGCACAGAGCGAAACATCGACCCCAGTCAGTGTTCAGCAACTTGTGTTTCTGTCTTCGAGAAAAAACAAATTAATATCCCAGTTCAAATAATTATTTTTTATTTTATGAAATTAACATGAACGAAGCTAAAGAAATTATTATCACTGGATTTTCCTAAATTATATTGAATATATTGTAATTTGCTTTATTTTACAGAAAAGATAATCTGAAATACTAGAAGTGAAATAAAAACAATAAAAAATGTCAAAGTTACACCAAGGCAACAACGACAATAATAATAATAATAATAATAATAATAATAATAATAATAATAATAATAATAATAATAATAATAATAATAATAATAATAATAATAATAATAAAAATATAAATAATGGAATTATTAAATTATTATTATTATTATTATTATTATTATTATTATTATTATTATTATTATTATTATTATTATTATTATTATTATTATTATTATATTATTATTATTATGATAATCCAGTGAAAAACATGGAATTTCATGACAAATGTATAATTGCTGTATGACAGGTGGTTCGTGACAAGTGATAGGTGACTTGCGTATGACAGGGGGTTGGTGACATGCGTATGACAGGTGGTAGGTGACAGGTGTATGACAGGAGAAAACTGAATGACAGATGACAGGCGAATGACAGATGGCAGGTGCAAGACAGGTGAATAAAAGGTGATAGGTGCGTGACAGGTGTGTGACAGGTGCGTGACAGGTGTGTGACAGGTGCGTGACAGGTGTGTGACAGGTGCGTGACAGGTGTGTGACAAGTGCGTGACAGGTGTGTGACAGGTGTAACAAACCTACTGGTCCTGAGGTGTCTGGGTGGGCGGCGGTGGTGCGGGGGCGGGTGGGGGTGGGCGTCGGGGGGAGCCATGACCCCGGGGTAATGCTCATCCCGACACGTTCCGAACGCCACTCCAACCTCCGACCCCCGACTGTCTCCCTCGCTCTGTAAACATCAACATCATCAGCTGTGTGTTAAGATCAACATCAGTCGAGTAAACATTGATATTATTAGCCAAGTAAACATCAACATCATCGGCTACGTAATTATCAGCTGTGTAAACATCAACAACTATTAATATCAACATCAACGACAGAAACTACGTTACCAGCCACGTAAACATCAATGTTATAGCTGTGTAAGCTTCAACGTTACCAGCTGTTTAAACTTCAGAATTATTATTGTTTAAACATCAACGCTACCAGCTGTGTAAACATCAAGGTTACCAGCTGTGTAAACATCAAGGTTTCCAGCTGTGTAAACATCAAGGTTACCAGCTGTGTAAACATCAAGGTTACCAGCTGTGTAAACATCAAGGTTACCAGCTGTGTAAACATCAAGGCTACCAACTGTGTAAACATCAAGGCTACCAGCTGTGTAAACATCAAGGTTACCAGCTGTGTAAACACCAAGGCTACCAGCTGTGTAAACACCAAGGTTACCAGCTGTGTAAACATCAAGGTTACCAGCTGTGTAAACATCAAGGTTACCACTGTGTAAACATCAAGGTTACCAGCTGTGTAAACATCAAGGTTACCAGCTGTGTAAACATCAAGGTTACCAGCTGTGTAAACACCAAGGTTACCAGCTGTGTAAACATCAAGGTTACCAGCTGTGTAAACATCAAGGTTACCAGCTGTGTAAACATCAAGGTTACCAGCTGTGTAAACATCAATGTTACCAGCTGTGTAAACATCAAGGTTACCAGCTATGTAAACATCAATGTTACCAGCTGTGTAAACATCAAGGTTACCAGCTGTGTAAAACAATCAAGATTACCAGCTATGTAAACATCAATGTTACCAGCTGTGTAAACATCAAGGTTACCAGCTGTGTAAGCATCAAGGTTACCAGCTGTGTAAACATCAAGGTTACCAGCTGTGTAAGCATCAAGGTTACCAGCTGCGTAAACATCAATGTTACCAGCTGTGTAAATATCAAGGTTACCAGCTGTGTAAGCATCAAGGTTACCAGCTGTGTAAACATCAAGGTTACCAGCTGTGTAAACATCAAGGTTACCAGCTGTGTAAGCATCAAGGTTACCAGCTGTGTAAACATCAAGGTTACCAGCTATATAAACATCACTGTTACCAGCTGTGTAAACATAAGGTTACCAGCTGTGTAAACATCAAGGTTACCAGCTATGTAAACATTAATGTTACCAGCTATGTAAACATCAAGGTTACCAGCTGTGTAAACATCAACGCTACCAGCTGTGTAAACATCAAGGTTACCAGCTGTGTAAGCATCAAGGTTACCAGCTGTGTAAACATCAAGGCTACCAGCTGTGTAAGCATCAAGGTTACCAGCTGTGTAAACATCAAGGTTACCAGCTGTGTAAACATCAAGGTTATCAGCTGTGTAAGCATCAAGGTTACCAGCTGTGTAAACATCAGTGTTACCAGCTGTATAAACATCAAGGTTACCATCTGTGTAAACATCAAGGCTACCAGCTGTGTAAGCATCAAGGTTACCAGCTGTGTAAGCATCAAGGTTACCAGCTGTATAAACATCAAGCCTACCAGCTGTGTAAACATCAAGGCTACCAGCTGTGTAAACATCATGGCTACCAGCTGTATAAACATCAAGGTTACCAGCTGTGTAAATATCAAGGTTACCAGCTGTGTATGCATAAAGGTTACCAGCTGTGTAAACATCAAGGCTACCAGCTGTGTAAACATCAAGGCTACCAGCTGTATAAACATCAAGGTTACCAGCTGTGTAAACATCAAGGTTACCAGCTGTGTAAACACCAAGGTTACCAGCTGTGTAAACATCAAGGTTACCAGCTGTGTAAACATCAAAGTTACCAGCTGTGTAAACATCAAGGTTACCAGCTGTGTAAACATCAAGGTTACCAGCTGTGTAAACATCAAGGCTACCAGCTGTGTAAACATCAAGGCTACCAGCTGTAATGAACATCAGGTTACCAGCTGTGTAAACATCAAGGTTACCAGCTGTGTAAACATCAAGGCTACCAGCTGTGTAAACATCAAGGCTACCAGCTATATGAACATCAAGGTTACCAGCTGTGTAAACACCAAGGTTACCAGCTGTGTAAACATCAATGTTACCAGCTGTATAAACATCAAGGTTACCAGCTGTGTAAACATCAAGGTTACCAGCTGTGTAAACACCAAGGTTACCAGCTGTGTAAACATCAAGGTTACCAGCTGTGTAAACACCAAGGTTACCAGCTGTGTAAACATCAAGGTTACCAGCTGTGTAAACATCAAGGTTACCAGCTGTGTAAGCATCAAGGTTACCAGCTGTGTAAACATCAAGGTTACCAGCTGTGTAAACATCAAGGCTACCAGCTGTGTAAACATCAAGGTTACCAGCTGTGTAAACATCAAGGTTACCAGCTGTGTAAACACCAAGGTTACCAGCTGTGTAAACATCAAGGTTACCAGCTGTGTAAACATCAAGGTTACCAGCTGTGTAAACATCATGGTTACCACTGTGTAAACATCAAGGTTACCAGCTGTGTAAACACCAAGGTTACCAGCTGTGTAAACATCAAGGTTACCAGCTGTGAAACATCAAGGTTACCAGCTGTGTAAACATCAAGGTTACCAGCTGTGTAAACATCAAGGTTACCAGCTGTGTAAACATCAAGGTTACCAGCTGTGTAAACATCAAGGTTACCAGCTGTGTAAACATCAAGGCTACCAACTGTGTAAACATCAAGGCTACCAGCTGTGTAAACATCAAGGTTACCAGCTGTGTAAACACCAAGGCTACCAGCTGTGTAAACACCAAGGTTACCAGCTGTGTAAACATCAAGGTTACCAGCTGTGTAAACAATCAAGGTTACCAGCTGTGTAAAACACCAAGGTTACCAGCTGTGTAAACATCAAGGTTACCAGCTGTGTAAACATCAAGGTTACCAGCTGTGTAAACATCAAGGTTACCAGCTATGTAAACATCAAGGTTACCAGCTGTGTAACATCAAGGCTACCAGCTGTGTAAACATCAAGGCTACCAGCTGTGTAAACACCAAAGTTACCAGCTGTGTAAACATCAAGGTTACCAGCTATGTAAACATCAATGTTACCAGCTGTGTAAACATCAAGGTTACCAGCTGTGTAAACATCAAGGTTACCAGCTGTGTAAACATCAAGATTACCAGCTATGTAAACATCAATGTTACCAGCTGTGTAAACATCAAGGTTACCAGCTGTGTAAGCATCAAGGTTACCAGCTGTGTAAACATCAAGGTTACCAGCTGTGTAAGCATCAAGGTTACCAGCTGTGTAAACATCAATGTTACCAGCTGTGTAAATATCAAGGTTGCCAGCTGTGTAAGCATCAAGGTTACCAGCTGTGTAAACATCAAGGTTACCAGCTGTGTAAACATCAAGGTTACCAGCTGTGTAAGCATCAAGGTTACCAGCTGTGTAAACATCAAGGTTACCAGCTATATAAACATCACTGTTACCAGCTGTGTAAACATAAGGTTACCAGCTATGTAAACATTAATGTTACCAGCTATGTAAACATCAAGGTTACCAGCTGTGTAAACATCAAGGCTACCAGCTGTGTAAACATCAAGGTTACCAGCTGTGTAAGCATCAAGGTTACCAGCTGTGTAAACATCAAGGCTACCAGCTGTGTAAGCATCAAGGTTACCAGCTGTGTAAACATCAAGGTTACCAGCTGTGTAAACATCAAGGTTATCAGCTGTGTAAGCATCAAGGTTACCAGCTGTGTAAACATCAGTGTTACCAGCTGTATAAACATCAAGGTTACCATCTGTGTAAACATCAAGGCTACCAGCTGTGTAAGCATCAAGGTTACCAGCTGTATAAACATCAAGCCTACCAGCTGTGTAAACATCAAGGCTACCAGCTGTGTAAACATCATGGCTACCAGCTGTATAAACATCAAGGTTACCAGCTGTGTAAACATCAAGGTTACCAGCTGTGTAAGCATCAAGGTTACCAGCTGTGTAAACATCAAGGCTACCAGCTGTGTAAACATCAAGGCTACCAGCTGTATAAACATCAAGGTTACCAGCTGTGTAAACATCAAGGTTACCAGCTGTGTAAACACCAAGGTTACCAGCTGTGTAAACATCAAGGTTACCAGCTGTGTAAACATCAAAGTTACCAGCTGTGTAAACATCAAAGTTACCAGCTGTGTAAACATCAAGGTTACCAGCTGTGTAAACATCAAGGCTACCAGCTGTGTAAACATCAAGGCTACCAGCTGTATGAACATCAAGGTTACCAGCTGTGTAAACATCAAGGTTACCAGCTGTGTAAACATCAAGGCTACCAGCTGTGTAAACATCAAGGCTACCAGCTATATGAACATCAAGGTTACCAGCTGTGTAAACACCAAGGTTACCAGCTGTGTAAACATCAACGTTACCAGCTTGAAAACATCAAGGTTACCAGCTGTGTAAACATCAAGGTTACCAGCTGTGTAACACCAAGGTTACCAGCTGTGTAAACATCAAGATTAACAGCTGTGTAAACATCAAGGTTACCAGCTGTGTAAATATCAAGGTTACCAGCTGTGTAAACACCAAGGTTACCAGCTGTGTAAACATCAAGGTTACCAGCTGTGTGAACATCAAGGTTACCAGCTGTGTAAACATCAAGGTTACCAGCTGTGTAAACATCAAGGTTACCACTGTGTAAACACCAAGGTTACCAGCTGTGTAAACATCAACGTTACCAGCTGTGTAAACATCAAGGTTACCAGCTGTGTAAACATCAAGGTTACCAGCTGTGTAAACATCAAGGCTACCAGCTGTATAAACATCAAGTTACCAGCTGTGGTAACATCAAGGTTACCAGCTGTGTAAACATCAAGGTTACCAGCTGTGTAAACATCAAGGTTACCAGCTGTGTAAACATCAAGGCTACCAGCTGTATAAACATCAGGTTACCAGCTGTGTAAACATCAAGGTTACCAGCTGTGTAAACAT